ATTATAGTAACTGACTTAAATTTAACTTTTAAATTTACTTTGTGAGTTTTTATCCCCATATTTGCATATGCTTTATCCAGATTTTTTTTCAAAGGCCCTAGGCTAAAGCTAGACCTGGGCCAGGATGGCAGATTAGATTTGGTCTTGAGTGCTGTATCAATCAACGTGTAATACCTATCTGAAGCACTGAGATTAAAAGGGCTCTGAAGTCAAGCCCAAGCTCATTAGGGCCCCTTTGACTAGTAATGTCCACCATGGAGGCAGGAAGAAAGTGTTGACATCGCATTGTCATCCTGATTTAGAGAATATTTTGTAGTATATTAAAACTTTCATATTCTACAATTCTTCTATCCTTTGATAGAACTCCTCTATCATCTAGCACTCTTATATTCACACTCCATATTTTCAAATTCTGCTCTCAGGAAGGAAAAAAAAATACCATTAGTAAAACCAGTAACAATAATAACTCTCATTTTGAACCTATGTTTTATGCTAGGCACTGTGCTAGATGCTTTACATTTATTTATATAATACACTGTAAAATGACTATGGAGTAGGAATTTTTCCTAATTTACAGAAAAAGCTCAGATACTTGCATAATATTAGAGCCAGTAAGTACCCAGTTCAGAATTCAAGCCCAGGTTTTCTGACTCCAGAACTTGTGGACACAGTCACACATTTACCAAGAAAGTTTAAATGACACTGAATGTCAAGAACATATGAATATCAGTGTGGATCAGAGCTCTCAATAGAGAGGTCAGTGTTAATGATGAGATCTCATTTATTTTCCAGTAAATAAATGGTTATGCTTTATACAGTTTCTGACATTTCACCAGATCAAAGCCAGCCCGTACAGAACAGTGAATAGAATCACATGGAGAGACCTTGGAGGTTATCCTTTTCAAAAATGAAATTCATTCATTTTTTTGGATGAGGTGATTTCGCTTGAAAAGGGATACAGTGACCTTCCTGGTTTTTTGAGGACAATTTATGAAAGAAATAAGACTAGTACCCAGGCAGTCTTGACGCTATATCCTGGGTTCTTTCTGTCATTTAAGTCTCCTTTTCCTGAGCACATGTGAAGAAATGCCAGAAAGGAATCCCATAATCAGGGCAGAAGAATTAACCTAGTATTAAAATTATATGTCTTGGGTTAAAGAAAGAAAAGGGAAGGGAGGGAGAGAGAAGGACTATGTAATAGTAACTCAAAAGGAAAAAAATTGTTATGGGGGCCTTAGTAAATGAAAGAAATTTTACAGTACCAAAATTACAACTGTCCGCGTATAGCATCTTACTGCACTGATGGGCAGTGACTGCAGTGGGGTGTGAGTCTTGATGATATGGGTGAATGTTGTAAAAACCTTCATAAGATTGTATGTTAATGATACCTTATTAAAAAATAAAATAAAATTACAACGGTCTTTATTGTACATAATTTTATCTGGCCAACAGATACTAACATTTTAAAGAGAGAAACAATATAAATTATAATGTATTCTAAGTTTATTGCAATGCAATTTGAGATCAGTGGATATGATATGCAGAAATAGTCTCAACAAAGCCATAGAGAAGTTACCTTGACCACTAAAAATCTGGGAGTGTGCCAACAGCACTCCTGGTGCTATTGCAGAGAGCTCCTTGTAGTCCAGAGATAGGATGGTAGTTCTTGAGTCATGAATTAGGAACTTGGGTTTTAGGTACTGCAGTGACACCCAAGGAGGGGTCTGTGGTGTCTGGGGACATTTGAGGGAATCTGATTCTTAGGATTCAAATGTAATGACCGGATGGGCTTCTCATTTCTGTCAGTAGGAGTACAAATTGCCGAACTGCTCTCTTGCTAGACTAGAGAAAAGAATGCCCCAGTGTATCACAGGACTCCACTCATTTAAAAAGCATTATGAATCACCTACTTTAATGTCAGGCTTAATCCTGGGTTAGAAAAAAAAACATAAAAATATAGTATTTCATTTATCATCTTCTCTGTTTTAAACTTACTACCCATAGGTGCACAAATTAGTCCTTGGAAATGACTGGCAACAGGACTCAGGCTTTTTATTTAGAGAGAGAGAGAGAGAGAGAGAGAGAGAGAGAGAGAGAGTGTGTGTGTGTGTGTGTGTGTGTGTGTGTGTGTGGTGTGTGTGTGTGTCTTGACTGGCTAAAGGTATAGGCATGCATATAATTCAATTTTTCAGTCAGGATTTGTAAATTACTTTCAGTCGTAGTTAAAAACTATGTCTTAAGAGGTGAAGTGTCAACTTAGTGAGAAAAGGCATCTCCTCAGATGGAAAATCCTCTATATTAAGTTAATGTTCAGTGATATTTAGATACCCATTTTGGTAAATCCGTATAGGCTGCTTCGCTCTGAGAAATTAAGAGTTAAGTGAATAGAAGAAAATATTTATAAATGTAATTTAGATTTTTTTCCAGAAGACCAAACAAAATTAACTTGTTTAGCAATATCTATGTAACATGATAATGTTAAAGCATATTGTATTATGATTTCTCAATTGGTCAGTGTTAGAAATGTGTCATAACATGCAAAAAAACTTAGAAATAAGTGCATTTCCAAAGAAGGTAAAAGATCAGTTTTGAAATTAAAAAAATGATTTTTGGTTTAATTAATCTCAACTTTTGAAGAGTAAATATCTAGCTTACACTATTTTCCAGGTAGTTTTTAAGCTTTCCTCATGAATCTTAACAACAATGCTGTAGTAAATTTTTAAAAATTAATATACTAATTATAAGTTTACAGATTAAACATTTTCTTGCCATGAGATCCTGATTTGATAACTGAAATAACAGGTGAATTTGTATAAATTCTAAATAAGTCCACCTACAACAGAAGTATTTTTACTTCAGGCACTTTAGTAAATAAAACATTTTCATAAACAGCATATAAGCAGAAAATTAAAAAGTAAGAGGCAAAAAAGATTTGGTAGCTTAAAAAGTTGGAGCTGACTAGTTAGCTATTTCTCCATAGCTGTCTCTTCTTTTATATCCAGGAAAGGCTTACAGATAAATTAAGTTACAGGTGGGTAGGTTAGACTTAGTTTTATTTTGCATTTATTTTGACCATTAGTAATAAAGAAAGTCTTACCTCATTGGCAATGTTTATTGACATATTTAAAAGATGAAAATTGATCTTTTAAAAGGCCTTCCCTTCTTTAACAATGAAAAACTTAACTAAAATTCTATATTCATCAAATGCCTTGAATGCACAGTGGGATAATTTCATGGAATCATTCTGTGAACAATATATTATGCCTTCTTTGCCATAATTAATATACCTTTCATCTCTCAACCTTATGTCCAAATGATGTTCATTTATCACAATGGGACTTGTACACACATACAATAATGAAGTCTCTGTATGCTACCAAATAATTTAATTCTAGTGTAAAAGTTGAACAGCAAAGAGCAGAAACTTTCTTAAGGGATTTTGAGACATGGTTAAAAAGTGAGGAAATGATATTGGGATTTTGTTAGCTGATAGAAAGAGAAGTCTTTCAGCTATCACAGGTGATGTCAGAAAGATATTTCTGTGAACAGGGAACACAGCAGGATTTACTTACAGGTTGTCAGGGCCAGGGGTGGTTGAAGCTCTTCCCTGTGGTATTCGTTCATTTCTTGAGTGCTGTTGCAATTATTTGCTTTAGCCAACCTGATTTGAAATGAAATGCATACAAAGAAGCATGTAAGTATTCAAAATTTCAATGAAAATCTCAATCCTAATTAACTATAAATCAGTAAAGCCAGGTAGCCTGAGGTAGGTTAAAATGAAAACTTTGTACATGAAAGGTTACATATGCCCCTAAATCTAAGAATTTCTTAGTTGCAAAACCTCCAAATCACTACATGCAACTTCCTTGCCTTCAATTACATTCCTGAGGGAAGTGAGAGTGGGTTAACCAAGCCAAACAGGAGTCTGAGAGTAAGTCTTTTTTTGTTGTTCATGTAGCAGAAGCCATAGATCTCAATGGGAATAGACTTCTGGCCTGTCATTTGAGAATTTGGAGTAGAACAAAGCTGGAATGTATGCCCTTCTGATTAGCTGAATTACACCCCTGGGGCCTTATACCTAGTAGAAGTGGTGTTCCTTTAGCACTTTTTTTTGTGTCACTCATAAGAGACTTAGCACATATTGCTTCATCAAGTTATTATTATACTTGTATTATTTTCCTTTATAAGACTTGAAGTTCTTTAAAGACGGTAACCATGACATATTTCTTACAGGTATATTTACAGTTTTGTCAATTACTGGGCATTGCAAATAGAATATGCTTAAAAAAGAAAGACAAGTTATGCTACCAGTTAAGCGACAGGCAAGAGTATTTCAAACATTCACAAAAATTCCTATCTTGCTCCTTACGTCCTAGATGCACTTCCTATTAGATTCACTGGTTTTGTTTGTTTCCTTTTCTGCTCATCTCAAGTCAGAGGTAAGTTGACACTGGCAAATGAATAATCATAATACATACATTTCTACTTTGAAACATAACACCTGGCTATACATTATATTCACCTCTCTTTAAATTGGAAGGTAGTCATCAAAGCTACAATACAAATAGCAACCTCCCAAACAAAATTACATGCACATTCAGGAATACCATGGAAGTCAGATGGGGGCTGGACAGACCTCAACCTCCCCAGCTCATCTGCTGTAACAAATTGTTTAACGAAGCCAGATACTATATCTGAGCATTTTCCTGTTTTTTGATTATTTTACTTAATCCTACATAGAAGTTTGAATAAGGTCTCATAATCCATATTACAATGTTTATATAAAAACCTAAGAGTTAAATAAAACCACTGAGTATAATTTGGCTCTGTATAGTTTTAACATGAAATCTCCTTTTCTCAAAATAGAAATCTGTTTTGGTACTTGATGAACACCAGACATAACAGTATACTATTCATTCACCCTTCTTTGAAAAGTAGCTCACTGAAGAAAAGTTGACCATTTAGGATCTTTCCTTTTCTTTCTCTCTGTCCCTTTGCAGTGAATCAACTGTGTTGAATATGAACCAAAACTACATACTACAGACAAGTAATGGGTAAGTCTGCAAGTCTTCACTTTCTGACATCTATTTAAGCGAAAAATATCCTGCTTTTCTAATTTTTCTCCTTTTACATTACACTATCACTGGTAGTTTCTACTCATTCATCTACTGGACCCTAACATTACATTAGTGAAGGTTATAGTATAATATTTACATATTGCCTTCATTTGCCCACTTGTTCTGAGAGTGAATTGGGCTATGTGGGTTAGTCTCTTTAGCTTACTAAATGATAATGTATGTATCAATCAGACTGCAAAGAAAACATGACTAGGAGGTTGAAGTATATTCAACTTGGAGTTAGTATATTTATTTCAATCATATTTCTCAATAGTTATTCTCACTTATAAATAAAAATAGTTCTGTATATAAAAATAGTATTTCTGAACTTGTTTGGCATCTTTTGGTGATAGGATAGTACAGAGAAATTGATATTGTACTTAGTAAAGTGCTAGTTTCCTTAGAAATTACTTGTCTTTATTCTATTTCATCTTGACTATAAAATCATCTCATATTCTTAGCTAACCTTTAATTTGCTTTTTATTTTTAACAAAATATTTTAATAAATTGTTTAAATAAATTTTTCTGCAAGTCTTTCATTCATGAAACATTTCTGAAGTGAAGACTGGCTATCAAAATATAAATTTTTTTTGGTCAATGTGTATTAAGTGAACAAGTCTTGCATGAGATATCTGTGGTGTAACCTGTCTTCATTGGCTTGGGCTGCCGTAAGAGAATACCATGGACTGGGTGATTAAAATAACAAAAAATTATTTCTCACAGTTATGGAGCCTGGAGGTCCAAGATCAGGGTGCCAGCCTGAACAGATATTGCTGAGGACTTTCTTCCTAGCCTGTAGATAGTCACTTTGTTTCTGTGTGTAGGCATAGCCTTCCACAGCACATGTATGTGGACAGAAAGATCTCTCTTTCTCTCATTACAAGGTCACCATCCTATCAAATTAGGAAACCCCATCCCCACTTATGACCTCTTTGAACTTTAATTACTTCCTGTAAAAGCACTATGTCCTAATACAGTCACATTGGGGGTTAGGGCTTCAACATATGAATTTGGGGGGATACAATTCAGTCTATAGCATTCTGATTTCTATATATTTCTAATTTGTACTCTACTAATGACAAGGGCTTTATTATTGGTTGTTTGGTTGGTTGATTGATCAATTGAGTAATTTATGCATTAATCAAACACTTGTAGGCAACCTCTTACATGTCAGGCAATATACTAGTCCTGGAGTTATGAAGATTAAAAGCCATTATTCTTGCTCACTAAGAGTCCAAGTATAGTGGGGAAATCAGTCAGGTACAAAGAATTAATGTATAGTATGGTTAATTGCTATAATCAGGAGACTTGATGAACAGTAGAATTTAGATAAATGAAGAAATGAAAGATAGGAAAAAAAGTAGTAAATCCATAAAGATGTAGAAGGCTTGAATAACACTATCAACCAACTTGAGATAATTGACATTTATGGAATACTCCAAATAACAATAGCAAAATACTCACTCTTTATAAGCTCAAATATAGTATTCACTAAGAGATATGATATGCTAGGCTAAAAGCAAGTCTGACTGAATTTAAAAGATTGGAAATCATACAGAATATTTCTGTGACAAAACAGTAAGTAAATTAGAAGTCTGTGACAGAAAAATCCAAAAAACTTCCAAATATTTGGAAATTAAATTATACATGTTTATCTAATTCATAAGTCAAAGAAGAAATCATTACAGAATTAAAATATTTTGACACAAATAAACATTTTTTAAATATATCAAAATTTGTTTCATGTAGCTAGAACAGTCATTAACCTCAGTCTCTTTCCTCTTTATATCAGTTAAAATCTTTGGATGATCATGGTTTAGGGAGAGGCTGAGAACTTGTTCTGTTTTTGAGAGGGCCATTTTGATTAGAAGCATTTGATCAATATACTGTATTAGAAAATCTTGGTATGAGAGGTAAAATGTCATGTGTAAATATTATTATTTTAACTGTTTTGTTGAGAAATAACTTCCATACAATAAACATGCACCCATTTTAAACGGTTTATGAATTTTAGCAAACTAATAGAGTGGAAACTGTTATCAAGATGTGGAACATTTCCATCACCAAAATGCTGCTTCGACATTAATCTCCTTCCCCTACTCGCAGCCCCAGGCACCCACTGATCTGCAACGTGTCCTTGTAGTTTTGTCTTTTCTGGAATTCCTTATAAATGGAATCATACATTAAGTAGTCTTTGTGTCTGGCTTTTTCACTTAACCTAATGCTGTAGATATGCATTCATGTTCTATATATTCATATTTCACCCTTTATCTTCCTCAATAGTGTTCATTTTTAAAGCTACGCACAATTTATTTTGCCTGTTGTTAGACACTTGAGTTGATTCCAGTTTGGGGCCCTTATGAATAAAACCCCAGTGTACATTTGTTTACAGTCTGGGTGTGGACAGTAAGCTTTTGTGTATTTTGAGGGTTGCTGGGCCATCTGGTAAGTAAATTTCCCAGTCTCCTTTCCAGCCCTGAGTTCTGCCTTGGACTCTCCAAGCCAGGAAGGCACTCACTTTCTGCCTTCCGGAACTTTGAGTGGGTCAGGGAATGCACTCAGCCAAAAGTGAGCATACTCGCAAATCTCACCAGGAGCTGTTTCTCTGTCAGAGCAGGATCTCCTTTCAGTTTCTACCTTCTTTTTAAGAGACTCCCGGTGGGCTCCCATACTCACGTGTAGTTTACAGACAGCTGGGAATTTGAGCAGAATTCATATTTAGATTTTTATATCTCATTCCTTCTGCAGCTCTTTTGCTTATAGAATTTCCCCTTTAAGTATCCAGCTGGTCTTCTTCTTTGCACTGTACCATCTGTCGCCTTGACCTGCTGAGACGGTAGGTCTGCCCTGGTTTGAGGATGTGGGGTGGCTTGTGAAGGCAAGGAAACCACAAACTCACAGTTTTTACCCAGTACAGCACTCATCTTTGAAAGTAAGCTATTCTCAAGATTTTATCATTTCCAGTGTCTTCAAGTAATTATTTTTAAAAATTTTGTCCAGATTTGGTAACTGTTATAAGTAGGAAAGATTCCTCAACATTACCAAAAAGGTCTTTGTTTTATATTTATAGTACTTAACAAAGGCATGTCTGGAAAGAAATTTACCAAATGGTAAGTAGTAGTTATTTTACAGTAGAGGAAGTCAGATAATTCAGATAATTTTTATTTTTTACACTTTTTTATATTTCTTGATTTTTCGATTGTTATCATTAGAGTCAGAAAAAAAGGCATTCCATTTTATTACTTTCATTTTGTAATAGTTTGCAAGAACAGGAATACTGGAAGTTGGAACTGAGAAGAAATTTTAGAGACTGTTTAAGTGCTTTAACAAACAGAAAAGAATTATTTTGCAATTAGTATAGTTTTCTGTCTAATGCAAAACTGCCTGCTAAGGTAGCACTTGAAAAGATTTGTTGGGCTTTCACTCTTAAGTAGTTTAAAATTTTGTTTTATTATTCTATTAACTTGTATTAGTGTAACACACTTTTTAATAATACAAAATAATGTAAGTTCATGTTGTTTGATAATTTCAAACATATTAATGTAATTTAGCCTCTTTTGTAAAGGTCACAGTATTATTTCTTTTGGGGACATCTTCTGACCTGAGAAAAGATACACGGAGGTAATAAAAGCTGTTCCTCATTGAGAATTGACCAAATACCAGCCACTGTTTTTACTGCTTTACACGTTTTACACTATTTAATCCCTTTAACACCCATATCAATTGGGTTCAAATATGATCCTCTTTTCATAGATTAGGATACCAAAGTTTAGGGAGATTATTTCTCTAGGATCACTAGTTGGTAAATGGCAGAGCTGCAACTTGTGGACTTGACCCTGGGCACACTGGCTCTATGCCCACCGTCGGTGCCACCACAGTAGACTGTATTATGGAGAAATGTGGCACTGGAGATGATGAATCTCACAGCCTTCCTCTCTCAAAATTAAATGGTGAAAAATATTGTAAAAAAAAAAAAGGTAGAGATCTCTGAAGGCTTCATTGGGCTATTTTTTTCCCAGTGTGCTTTAGATAATGGGCCAGATTAAAGGTAAGTTGATGTCCGAAGATTTCTTCCATATCTGTAATTCAGTATCTTGGTTCACAGCTGTTCTGACCTAAGGAAAAATTTAGACAACAGTACCTTTTCTCACCTTGCACCCCATCAGCTACTTCTGTTTTCAGCATTGGCACCCAGTTCTCTTTCTAACAAGTCAGACTGCTATTAAGTGCAGTTCAGTGGAAAGAGCACTGTGGTAATGCACAATAGTGTACAGAAGCCTCTCATTTTTCCCCACTAGCCATTCTCTATCTTGCTAATATAACCTCTTGAGTTTTAACTGCATAGTGGCTGCTTGGCAAAACCACATTTTCCTGCCTTCTTTTTAATTAGATATGGCAGTATGACTAACTTCTGATCAAAATAATCAAACTTAAGTGAAATACTTAATCGAAGTCACATCTTTCAAAAAGAAAGTGCTTATTTTCCTCTTCCTTTTTTTCCCCCTTTCCTTTTAGCTGGAAAAAAAACCAGATATAAATGGTGCAACTGCCTTGATCTAGAAATCAAAGCTGTATATTGAGAATGGCAGGGTCAACCTGTCTGCCCTAGAGCATTCTGTACCATACAGCTAAATGAGGGAAAATATGTCCTTCTATGTCATTTAAATGATGTGCTTTAAATCTATATTATTTAAACCATGTGTTTTAAATCTTGTATTACTTAAATCATGAATTCTTTGTTATAACAATGAAGCCAGTATCCTAATGTAAAAATTGGGATCTGAAAGTGGGGTACTGCCACAATACAAACCAAAATAGGTGGTACTGGATTTGCCATCAGATCGTAAGAGGTAAGGGGACAATCTGAAAAGCTGGTGGCTCTTGTTATACTGGGGCACAGCATTTAGTAAAACAGTTACCTGTGATAATTTTAGAGG